CTCACCTCACAGGGTGGTTGTTGTGGGGAAAATAGGAGGAGGAAGGAGGATTAAGTATGTTCGCTGCCTTGAGTTATTTATAAAAATAAGAAAGGCAGAATAAAACAAAATCTAAAAAAACCCTTCACCTTGCAGGTGAAGCGAACCAATTGCTCTGCCATCCCTGCTCCCCCTCAGCAAAAACTCACAGCTGTTGCAGGAGCTGACATGCCTCGAAATCTCCAGCAAGACCCGAGTGTAGCAGGCAGTCATGACCAGCAGCGGGAGCAGAAAAAGTCCCAGGAAGCCAAACATATTATAGGCCACCTCATGCCAGCGCCGGGCAAAGGAGCCGTGGGTCGTGCACTGGGTGAAGTTCTGCGGGGAGCTGATGGTGACCGTGTGGAACAGGAACAGCTGCGAGGCGATGACAGGGGTTGGGGAGAGAAAAGGGTTCCAGGACAGTCTGACCCTCCGGGGCCGCTGCAGGGGGTCCGCCCACCCTCCCCTCCTTCCCGCTCAGCTATGGGTTCCTATCCTTGCGCCTGGGTGGGGCAGCTTCCTTTGCCAGGGCGAGCCGGGTCAGGTACCTGAGGAGCAGAGAGGCTGGCACTCATCAGCCACGCCATGTAGAGCAAGATCTGGTTCTTGCGCCAAGCCTGGGCAGTGGCCAGTGGCTGTAAGATGGCTGCTCGGCAGTCCAGGCTAATCAGAGTGGTGACAAAGGCCGAGGCGTACATAGCCAGCAGCTTGAGGAACATGAGGATCCGGCAGGCCACGTCCCCAGCCCGCCACTGCAGCGTGACGTTCCAGGCGGCATCTAAGGGCATCACCACCACAGCCACCAGGAGATCCGCTGCCGCCAAGTGCAGGAGCAACAGGCGTGCGTGGGAGCCCTTGGCAGGTTGCCTGGTCCTGCCAGTCCACAGCACGGCCACGTTGCAGGTGGCCGAGATCACACACAGCAGCAGGGTGAGCCCCACCCGGACCTGAGCGGCAACCGAGAAGATGGGCAGCACCAGGGACTCCTCCAGGCCACTGCTGTTGCTGCTGCCACCAGCCCCGCTCCTGTTCTGCTCCGGGTCCATCCTGGGGGAGGGAGAGCCCCAGCCTGTTCCGCCTGCTTGGCCACTGGCGAGGAGAAGAGGCAAGGCCATTGCCTGAGTCAGTGCGAGTCCCCCAGCAGCCCCCCTCCCCCTCCTGCTCCCCCGCCCAGGGGCCTCAGGAGCCTACCTCCAGCAGCGGCCCAGGGGCCCAAAGCCTGGTCTCCTCTCTGCCTTGCCAGCCCTGGGAAAGTGGGAAGCCGTGCTCTCGTGGACCTGCAGACACTCAGGGCTGCCTCGGCTATGAGAGATGCCCTTGGCACAGACATCCCCTCTAATTCTGTCCAGGGTCACACCTGCTCAGCCCCACCCCCGGATTGCAGCCAGGTGGCTCTTGCTGCAGATGGTGGGCGGCTGCTGCGGGGGGTGTGGTGACTTTCACACTGCCCCAACGTATCACCATGTTGTCTAAGTATGAAAAAGGTCCCAGTGGCTCGCTCTATGAAACACAGCTAAAACAGAGGCAAATGTGTTTGAACTCAGCAGGGTTGGAATCCAACTCATTTATGTATCTGGTTCCTGCTCAAGTCTGGGTCCCAGCACAGTGGCCCGGGGGGCAGCTGGGTGGACCACGAGGCAGCATCTTCCAGGAAGCCTTTGGCTGCTGATGCCAGGCAGACGCAGCCCTCTGGGAAGCATCCTCAGGGGAAAGGGGGAGAGCCCCTCAGTGCTGCTTCCTCCCTTCTCCGTGTTTGGCAGCTGATGAGGAGGACTCTCCTGGAGGACCCAGCTGGGTCGGCTGGTCGGTTGGTGGTCCTCCTGGGGAGCAGCTTCTTGGCCACCTGCCCTGCTGCTGTTGTGAAGGGGCTCGCAAGCATTCTCGCCCTGCAGAGAATCTGCCTGATTAAGTGCTCCAGCAACAGGGGACGCCTCGGCCTTCTCGCGGGCTGTTTGCCGCAGAAGCCAGATGAGCAGACTCTCTCTACCCCGTCCGTTTGTCTTGTTTCACCCCGCCTGTATTTGCTTTCTAGCGTCACAGGTTCTCTAAGCAGCTTACAAACACCATTAAATTCAGTTCTAAATTATTAAAAAGGATTTATTATACCCAATCATCTCTACCCCGTTTTTCTCTAACAAACATCATAAATACCATCAGAATTGTGAAACCAATGCAATCATTACAAAGACTCAAGCAGCTTCGGAGAAAACAAACATACGCGCGGTAAGCAGTTAGTTTAAAGGGCCACGCGTAAAAGTCAGGGCTCAAGCCGCCGCCAGGGGGCGCCTGCTCCTCACATCCGCCCGGAGCTCCGAAGCGTCGCATGCCGGCGCGCCGAGCCCGCGGAGGGGCGCAGCTGCCAAACGGCCGGAGAACCGTCCAGCGGCCCGGCCAGTCCAGGGCCCGTCCT